TATATTCTTCAAATAGTATAAAACTTGTAAGAAGTTTAAATGATATTGGAAATATCTTATCGAAACAAAGAAAATATAGTCAAGCGCTTGAATTTTTCCAAAAAGCGCTGATTATTTCAGAAACATTTAATCCATCCAATCACGTTCAAATAGCGGCAAGTTATATTTTGATTGCAAGAGTTTTAAAAAAACAAGAAAAATACAACGAAGCAATAAGTCTTCAAAAGAAAGCACTTGAAATCTGTGAAAAACATTATCCTTCAGATCGTCTTACTATTGCACATTATCTCACTGATATTGGCAGCACTCTGTATGCTCAAAAAAGATACAATAATGCATTGGAATTTTATCAACAATCGATGAAAGTTTATGAAGAATGTGTTCCACGGAATAACAAACATATTTTTAATAATTTCAATTCAATTGGTGATACTTTCTCTAAATTAGAACAATATGATGACGCACTTGACGCTTATGAACAAGCTTTATTGATTCAAAAAAAAACATCATCCAGAATCTTATACAGACATTGTTAGTAGTCTTATAGACATTGGTCACACTAAATACAATCAAATGAAACTTGACGATGCTGTCGATTATTATTCACAGGCGATAGTATTACTAAAAGAATTTGATTCAACTAATCATCTTCAAATTGCAACCATTTTCTATTTGATTGGAACTACATTGAATGAACAAGGATCTTTTGATCGTGCAATCGAGTATCTTGAACAATGTTTAAAAATCAGAGAAGCTAGTCTTTCTCCAGGAGAATCAGATATTATGTTAATTCTATCATGTCTTAGTGAAACCCACCAAGCTCGCAATCAATATCAGATAGCTTTGGCATATGAAATGAAGCTATTTTTAATTCGCGAAAAAAGCTTACCACCAAATCATGAAAATATTGCCCAAAGTTTCTCAAATATAGGTAAATGTTATGAACATATTAATCAATTCAAAATGGCACTTGAATATTATAAACCAGCATTATTTATTTATGTACAACATCCATTAAGTTCAATTGAACAAGGAACAATGGAAAATAACATTCATCGACTTTCAACAATATTAAATAACTTAGGAATTCAATAAACTTCTCAATTTAAATTTTTTTCTTAAAGATATACTATACAAAACATAAACTTAAGTGTGAGTGAGAGTATTCTATTTCACTCACCCACACCGAAAGTCGGTTATTGTATCCGTATTCGAATTGAAGTCAGCCTAATTATAGGTTGAAGGAGTGAATGATTACATGAATAAAAAAGAGAGAATGAACACATAAGAATATACGAGATCTAGAGTTAGATAATAAATATAGAGAGAACACACACAGATCAAAAGAGGTACTTAGCACCGAGAGAGAGAATGCATTATGTTGATGAATACAGTCATACTATGATCTAGCCGAAGATGAAGATCATAACAATGTTAATTCTCTTATGAATATTGTATTATGAATTTGTACAATTAGAGTAAAAAGTGTAATACGAACTTTCGAGACATCGAATCTTAGGAAAATCTCGCCGACATTGTTTGAGCTCAATGATTCTTATATAATCCAATGTTTCCAAGTCTTTTCTTTCACACGGCTGTAGTTTTATCTCCATTTTCTTTTACCTTCAACTTTAAGTCAAATTTTGAATTCCTCAATTCTATTTAAAGCAAATTTAACGTCTAATTAAACCTTAATTAAAATATATCTCAAAAAACTTTTTTTTATCATATCTATTTTTATATAATCATGAATTTAGACGATATTATCAAGAATAATTACTGAAATATTTTGCATAAATAGATAATTCATAGTATTAGTTGTATATTATAATTGAAAAGTATTTCAATATAGTTAGTCTATTCAAATATAGATGGAGGATGCTATTTTATTATTAACAATCTTGACTTGTCGGTTTAATATCATCTGTATGAACATGTATATGTTTTAGAACTTTTTTAAGTTCTTTTACAATATCCATTGATAAAGTTTTTGTTCGTCTAAATAAAAACAAAAAGAATTATTTGTTTAAAGAAAAATTAAAATGTATTTTTGTTTACGAGAGAATCCATATATGTTCAAAATTAATATCCAAAATAGGAACATGATCACAAGAAAAAATAAGTGAATATTGATTGTAATCAGTAGTAATGATATTATATTTTATTGTTTGATCTATTGAAAAGAATAAAATCTAATTAAATGATTAGAATTAAGAAAAATAAAATATCTTACGAGGATTAGTAAGATGAATTAAAAAAGCACCTGGTTCTGATGCTTTCTTAACAACGGCCAAGCCATGATTACTATAATAACCATTAATTTCACTTACAGCTTGAGTCCATATATTCATTGTTCCATTAGAATTAATTGTAAGTGTCTCATTTTCACATTTAGACGCTACTTCATTAATATCATGACGATAAACTTCATACCAAATACCACCATACTAAACTCATAGAATAGAAATAATGATATAAATATAATTATCAACTAACTTTAGTAATATTAAAATCTTTTTGAGTAACAATTCTTGGACATAAAGAAGCTGAAATTAATTGATGTGTTAAAACTAGAAGAGTAGCTATGATTAAAAATAACATTTTACTGATAATTTTATTCTCATACTTTTTTATTTTCTATTATATTTTGAATAGAAGAATCGAGTAGGATGCTGAGAAAAGAAATTAATTGTAGAGGATCTGTTGTCAATTACAATCGTATTGTTATTATAAAGTCAATCTTTATTCAATATTTAAAAGAATAGATTTATCAGTGTAAAGTCTATTTCTATTGAAATTAATTTCAAATTTTCTGTAAATAATGTATGAAAAGAATGTAAAATCTATTTTCCGTTATTATTAAAAGATGATTCTCACTTCATTTATTAGATTTTGCATTAAATCTCATGTTTTACATTATTTTCATATATAGTACAGATGAATTTATTCGTACGAATTTTTTACGACTATATGAAACTAATGTATAATTTATGAAGATTAAACAATAAATTATCATGGAAATATTTTGTATTTATCAAAATAATTAATGCTCGTGTAGAGACTCGCTCAGCTCTTTCTCGTAGAAATCGCGTTACGAAACAACTACTAAGCCATTTATTTATTTAATTAAACAGCACAGAAGTCAGACTTGAATTCTTCGACCTCAACTATCCTTCGGTCAACTCTTATAAAAAAAATTCCTTTTATATCTTTATCTAATTTTTGGAACAATCAGTGACATACTGGCATACAAGCAAGCGAACAAATAATTTATTTTAGCAAAATTCTTCTCTACGAGAAAGAGAACAAGAAACTTCATATATTTTTATTTTAATACAATATACTAAAAATCAAAAATAAGATATTTTAATTCATCTTTTTCTAAGATAAAATTGCATCAGTTCTATATTTTGTTAAACGCTATAAACAGATAAAAAAAAGATAACAACATATCATTTTCTTCAAACAAATGATGAATACAACAACAACAACAACACCTGAAGTATCATCACCATTTTTTAGTTATATATGTGATAAATATTTTTATTCATCAGAATGGTTTACATTCACTATTTGTACATATATAACATTTCAAACAGTTTTTTGGCTATATAATATCTTTCTTTTCTACATTGGATATAATGATATATCTTATTTTGAAAAATATCGAATACAAAAACATAAACCAAAACTTCGTTTTCAACCTGAAATAATTCATCAGATGAAAAATGGAATAATAAAACATCAATTATCACTTATCGTGTCATTACCATTATTATATTACCTATTAAATTATTTTGGTCATGTTTCTGTACGTACATCAATTCCATCATTATTTACTATACTATGGCAAATGATTATATTTATATTAAGTGAAGATTTTTTATTTTTTTGGACACATTATTTTTTTCATACACGTTGGTTATATAAACATATACATAAGAAACATCATATATTCAAACAACCTACAGGTGTTGTTTTTATCATAGCTGATCCATGGGAATTATTATTACAAAATCAACTTGCTGTTTGGATTGCACCAATATTTCTAAAAGAAAAACATTTATTTACAATATGTTTATGGATATTTATTCGTGTTTATCAAACAATTAATGCTCATAGTGGTTATGATTTACCATATATAAGTGCACAATATTATTTACCATGGTTAATGTCAGGAACATTACAACATGATTATCATCATCAACATGCTAAAATGAATTATGGAAGTTTTCTAACATTATGGGATAGATTTATGAGTACACATCGATTACAAAAAGATGATTGACATTTTTTTTTTACTAATTATATATAAGTATTTAAAAAATTAATACATTTGAAGGATTTATTATGGCAAAAGCCTCTTCAAAATTACTGAATGAATTAAAACAGACATCTCGAAAATACAGGGTATTCTAAAACTCAAGATTACTTAAGAAATTCAGTTACATCTCTTAATAATCAGGCAATATCATTCAATTTTCACTTTTATTTTATGGAGAGCTCGCAAATGTATACGGTGTTGCTCGGAAAATTAATTATTCTCTTTTGTTTCCTATGAATCACCGATCTTGCGTGTTAAAAAAATGTGTTTGAATTATTTTTTACTTTGACACTTTAATGGTTTTTCTTCTTGCTAATATATTTTGTTAATTACAATTTTTTTAATTTAAAATAGAATAGATAGAATTCAAAGGCAGACCGCTTTACGCTATAGGATTGATATTCTCTCACTGTATTTTCTTCCTTCTTTTTCTACGATTATACGAAATATTCTCATTTGAATTTCTAACCAGTTTATTTGTTGACTAATAATCATATGCACATATATATCAGTCTTAAAGCGAATGCGTTTGACTGTAAAAAAAAAATGTACTATTTAATAATGTTCCTATTAGAATGCAAGAGTTTTTGCTCGATTAAATGTCATTCTAAACTACAATCTTATAAAATAATGAATAAATAAATTAAAAAAATAATTAAAGTTATCACTTTTTTTGATGAAAATGAAATTGTGAAATCTAGAGAGAACCAATTTACACTACGATCATAAAATCTTTTGAAACATCGATATATCTATTATTGAAATCTGCTGTTTCTCTCTCACGTAAACTAAAAAAAATAATATGAAACATGAATTTCTTTATCTACTCAAATTTTACATCTTTTCAATGTGATCATTTTATTTATCGTGTTATTTTAGTTCTATTCAAAACTAATCTGATGAAAATTGGTATTTAAAATTGGACCTATTTCCAGTTTTGACCATGACATTTATATTGTTGCGGAAAAAGAAACAATTATGTTTTTCAATTCATATTCTCTTCAAAATCTAATTTTCTTTTTCAAACAGTGTCGGCGTTCTGTGCAAGAAAAATAATTAAAATAGTCTATTATATTCTATGAAAATCATTTAACACTTGAAATATTAACCATCATAATAATTTTTTTTCAGTAGCTCCTCCAGAAAGTTATATGTCATTTCTTCAAACAGTTTTCTACACATCACTATGAGTTCTGTTCGACAGATGCAGTTGTTTCTTATTTTTGGTTTCTTTTTATCTTTTCATCTAAGTATACAAGATGAATCGAAGATAAAAATCAGTGCTTTAGGATATCAATTCATTCCTATAGACACTTCTCGTCCTCCTCTATTCACTTGTACTACAAAAAATTTGTTATATTGTTCTGCTGAATGCAACAAACGTATCACTTGTCGAACATTTGATTTTGATGCTGATTCTTTACAATGTCGATTATGGGAAATGGATACAACAACAGGTTCGATTGTTGTTTCACCATCAAAACCACGATCATCTGTTGGTTCAGTTCAAATCTCTCCTAATAATTATGTTAACATTCACAATCAGTCATGCAATCATTGTGATCAAAGTCGGTATGAAATATGTAATGTGAACAGTTCAACTTGTCAATGTCCACCATTTACATATTGGAATAATGGAATGTGTATGACACAATTATTTCAAGGTCAACTATGTTCAAATACATATGCTTGTCGGACGGATCTCAATCTTTCATGTCAGCCGACCTGTAACTTTACTTATCAATGCTCTGCTTGTAAGTCATTTTTAACTATACTTCTACTAATGATGCTATTGATATAATATCTCAGAAACACTATAGAAATATATGAGATAAGAATAATTCTTAAATCGTTTTTTGTAATTTTAGCTCCAACCGCAGGTATTGGTTTGACAGTTGCTGGTTTTTGCAATGGCAGTACAGATGCAGGTACACTTGGTGTGATGGGTCCTTGGGGTATTTATGTTTCACCATTCGATGGAATTTTGTATGTAACTAATTTCGATGTTCCTCGATTTCAATCATTTTTACCATTCTCACGTATTGGATCTACGATTCTCTCTAACGGACTCAATTCGCCTGAGGATGTGTTTGCTGACAGTTCACACAATATATACATGACGGAATACACCATTAATCAAGGTATAATGTACATTCAACGACTAGGAATGAATCTTACAAGTTTTCCAGCAATAGGTCAATCAGACTCATCCTGTTCTCTAACAGGATTAAAATCAGTTGATGGCGTAGTTGTTGATCGAGTCGGTAATATTTACGCATCACTATCTACTTGTTCTATGATCGTAAAATGGGCACCAAATAGTACTGCAGGTCTACTCGTTGCTGGATATCCAGGATATTATGGCACTGATAGTAATTCATTAGATTGGCCTCGATTTATGCATTTAGATGAAGATCGAGCGGCCTTATACGTTGCTGATAGTTATAACAATCGCATTCAAAAATTTATAATAGGCGGCAACGGAACAGGAATAACAGTTGCAGGTGGAAATGGAGCGGGAACGAATCTAAACCAACTGAGTCGTCCCTCAGGTGTTTGGGTCACACATAATGGTCAAACTCTTTATATTGCTGATAGCAATAATAATCGTGTGATGCGATGGAATATTGGAGATACACAAGGATCGGTTGTAGCCGGCAGTGCAACTGGTGTTGCGGGTAGTACCAATACACTTCTTTCATATCCAGGTGATGTGGCACTTGATCCTACTGAAACATATTTATATGTTTCTGACTATTATAATAACAGGGTGCAACGGTTCATTCTTCAATGATGTTTTATAAACGAATTATTTTAACTGTATCTAAATAAATCTGCTTTACATAATAAATGTGTGTTTTTATCATTTTTCTGTTTAAGGTGAAAAGTTTACGAATAATAATATAATATATACTACCATATATTAAAAAGTATTTTTTAACTAATACGATTTGTAAAACGATTGTAGGTATAGATAAGAGGTTTGTATGTTACCCACAACCTCAAGATGGTTGTTGTCGAGCGATGGTCAACTATTGCCGAACTTTGTTTTGTCTCTTTTTTAAGCTCTTTTCACGAAAATAAAAGAGTACAGGGTTACCACGATAAAATTTTAACTTCAAGAAGCAAAAGTAAATGAATTATTCTTCGATATTTTTTCTTGTTTAGTGAGAATTGCTGACGTCATCGTACGTTCTTTTAGAACATGCATGTAACAAGAAAAAAGTTTAAAGTGTAAGGCAACGCGAAAGAATAGGTAAAAAAAAACATTTTTTTCACCATGTGTGTTATGTTTTTTTCTTTTCTATCTAAGTATACGCCGCATAGTTTGTTGCATTTTTTTTACATAAATAATATGTCGTCAATAACAGAGCAACAACGTTTAATTTTAGTTACCGGTGCTAATAAAGGTATTGGTTTTGAAGTTGTAAAGAAATTTATTCAACAATCATCATCGAACAATAATAATGTTATTCTTCTTGGTAGTCGAGATTTAAAACGTGGTCAAGATGCACTTCAACAGTTGGGTTCGTCATCAAACGTACATGTTTTAGAATTAGATACTTCTTCAAAAGAAAGTATTATTCGTGCGACTAATGAAATTAAACAAAAATACGGTGGTCAATTAGACGTAATTATCAACAATGCAGGTATTTTACCAAAAGATAATACTATTGAGTCCACTCGAGAAATGCTCGCAACTAACTATTACGGCGTTAAAATACTCAATGAACAGTTGATTCCTCTTCTCCGTAACAATGGTCACATAGCTAATGTTGCTAGCGGAGCAGGACCAATTATATTAGGTTGTGTCTCAAAAGATCTTCAAGATAAATATACATCATCGACATTAACTGTAGAACAACTTGATTGTCTTGTTGAAGATTTTCTTTCAGCATTTGAATCGAATAATCTGGAAAAAGTTGGATATAAGACTGATATACCTTATTTATCATATGGCGTATCTAAGGCAGCGTTGATCGCTTTGACTCGAATTGCAGCTCGTCAAGATTATGGTGACAAAAACTTATTTATTTATTCTGTGAATCCAGGATATTGTTCTACTGATCTTAGTAATCATGGTCAAGGAGCTCGGCCAGCTGAGCTTGGTGCTGATTCTATCTTATATGTTATCAAAACTCCTCATGAAGAGCTGGAGAATGGTGCATTCTATCAAGATGGTAAAAAATTACCAGAAATATGTGAAGATGAAGCTACACTACAAAAATATCTTAATATAACACAGTCAATTAGTAAAGCAAAATAGAAAGTGGATGAACGTCTGCATAAATAGTTATAGTATTTACATGAACCATTATATCTAATCTTACATTGTTTTTTATTTCCGCTTTTTTATTTACATATTCAAGCAAATTGACGAATAAAATAGTTTTAAAAACAACTTTACATGAAAATAGAAGCATTTTATCCATTTACAATAGTATAATTCATAATCAAAACCTTCACCGTCGTAAAAGAGTTATTTTGGTGCCCCCTTAAAACAATCATTGCATTCATTTGCTTTTCACACTGATATTCCTAAATAATTTTTTGTAAATTGTTGAATTTTTCATATTGTTTTAATAACTTGAGTTGATCGGATAGGAATATCAGCATTTTGTTTCAGATGAAGTTTCATCAGTCCAATGAAAAGGAAATGTATTCAATGTACTTTCGCTTGTACATCACATATAGGTAGTAATAAATAAATATTGTAAAAATAAATCACATTTCTTCATTTCATTTTAACAAACTAAAACTTAAGTTAAGGTCAACTGAATGATGGAGTAATTGATATCATACTTTCTTTACTTGTAAAATTTGTGAAATATCAGAGACTGAAATTGGATTTTGAAATACTTCTCATGCTAGGCTCTTCGTTCCATCTTGTATATTTCGGAAACATTGTATAATTTTGTCTCTTTATTAACATATTCGACATTGAATTTCGAAATTCAACTCGGTAAGAGTAAATAATAGTTTGTAATTTTATGAATCTCTCGCATACTTCTTAATTTTTAAGTTTGCTAACTCGTTCATGTAAAAGTATCAGACGATATGCAATTGAAATAATGAACAATCTGATGTACTTGTATAATGTATGCTTTCAAGTTATGAGCATTATCATGCATATGGGAATATGCCTCATACAGATTCTAATATATCTAACAACTGTGTTCGTTTTTTATACTCAGTTGAAATTATCAATCAAGTGTTCAATTCTATCTTTTCCGGTGATATTGTATCCTACTCCACTGCATTTATAGATCGAGTATGATTCATCAATCATCTCTAAAACAAATTTAGAAGAAAACTTTGGTAGGATTCGTCGAATTTTCATATACGAACACGATCATTATATGACGAGACAAACCATATTTTTATTACTACAGGTGACCTTGTCGAAAAATATGATTTTTCAAATGAAAATGGCAAATTTTGCTCATTTATATGTTTCCAATTCTAGAAGAATCTTCCTGAAATGGTTTGAGTGAATAAAAAACAATTTTGCACATTCTATTTCTGATTGCTTGCGGTGTGTTTCATTTATCTCCCTTTGTCGTGAAAGCATTAAAAATGCACTAAAAATGAAGTAGGTAGCATTTAAATATTATATCTATATAACGCATCAAAGTTCCTGAAAATTCAATACATTATCGATCAAGTCGACATTATTTTGTAAATAAAGCATTAAAAGCAAATGAAGTAGTTAGTGTCTGAACATTAGTTTTAAGTAATGCATTATCGACCAAGTCGACGTTATTTTCAAGTGAAACATTGAAATGCATTAAAAGCAAATGGAGTAGGTAATATTTGCATATTATTCCTAAATAGTGCATTATCATTTATGAACAAAAAATTATCCGCATCATAATCAACAATAATGTCTCATTTTTGCTTTATTTATTTGTTATGAGGTACATCGGATATGGGGCTACTGGACAAATTAATTATTCTTTTTGTTTCTTATCAATCAACAATCTTGAGTGTTAAAAGAATGCGGTTAAATTGTTTTATATTTCGAAACTGTAACATTTTCCCATCATGTTAACAAGTTTTGTATTTTGTAGATTTCTTTAGTTTATAATAGAATTCAAAGCCAGATCGCATTATCCTATACTATCACTTATTCTCACTCGATCTTGTAGTTGAATTTCTAACCAATTTATATCTTCACTAATAATCAAATGCATACATATATCAGTTGTGTAACCAATACATACTTGATTGCAAAGAAAAATGCACTATGTAATAATGCTCATTCCAGAATTGAAGAATTTCTGTTCGATTAAATACAAATCCATACTATTATCTTGTAAAACTGTGTATAAATAAATTAAAAAAAATAGAGGTCATCACTTGCCTGATAATACAGTTATAGAGTCTTTTGAAAATTTCATGTCTCTCTCGTGTGTAAACTAAAACAGATAATTTGGAATATAAATCTATTTATTTACTCAACTTTACATCTTCCCAACTCGTTCATTTTATTGATAATGTTATTCTACTATTCAAAATTAATCTAATGAAAACTAGAATTTTAAATTGCGTCGATTTTGAGTTCTATCCATTGCATTTATATCGTTGAGGAAAAAGAACAACTATGTTTTTCAATTTGTATTCTTTTCAAAATCTAATGTTCTTTTTTAAGAGAAATTGGCGTTTTGTGCAATTAAAATAATAAAAATAGTCTATTATTTCTACAAAAACCATTTAACACTTGAAATATTATACATCGCTATAACTATTTTCTTCAGTAGCTCCTCTAGAAAGTTATATGTCATTTCTTCAAACAGTTTTCTACACATCACTATGAGTTCTATTCGACAGATGCAGTTGTTTCTTATTTTTGGTTTCTTATTGTCTTTTCATCTAAGTATACAAGATGAATCGAAGATAAAAATCAGTGCTTTAGGATATCAATTCATTCCTATAGACACTTCTCGTCCTCCTCTATTCACTTGTACTACAAAAAATTTGTTATATTGTTCTGCTGAATGCAACAAACGTATCACTTGTCGAACATTTGATTTTGATGCTGATTCT